CGGTGCAGGTCCCAATGAAATGTAAACGATGTTTGTGCCTGCGGACGTCCAGTGGGAGATGAGGCAGATGCATCCGCCCCTGCGGGTAATGTACACCGTTTTGTGAGGCCACCTGCCCTATACGCCTTTTTGGTTTGTTTTTGCTTCGGGGGTCCATCGTGACGGACGCGGCGGCAACAGGGCCGGCTGACGTCAAACGCTCTGTGGGCTTGGGCCCCCTCCTCTTCGCGAGCCCCCCGGCTGTTTGGCCACGCACAGCTGCCGCCCATGCACCTCGCAGCTGCCAAGTCTGTGGGGGACACGTGCCGCGGCACCGGCGCCGTCTTGGGTGAGTGTCTTTTAGGCGTCGCAGTGCAGAGCCGGACACCACAGCCGCCGGACGCAGCTGTGCAAATGCGCTTGGACGGCCTCAGAGGTGCGATTGGGGGTCGGGTGCCACAAGGAGCCTGCGTCACGGGCTGGCCTCCCTTTTTATTTTATTTTTTTGTTGGGGAACCTAAAAGCAAACAGGCAGGCTGCCCGCCTGCACCGCCCCCGCCTCTGGTTGAGGGGAGCCGCACCGCTGGGAGGTCTGCCGCTGCTGCGTGGCTTCTCTGCGTGTGTGGCTGTGGTCTCCTGCTGCCGCCTTTTTCTTCGTTCCGTCTGCACTCCCGCTCCCGCTCCCGCTTTCTCTATTTCTCCCTCCCGCCGCCCCGCAGACCACCAAGTAGATTGTGCCTCTACCACCATTGCCACTGCGACCGATGGGTATGACGCTGACGGTGCGGCGCCGTGCGGTGTGCGCGTTGGCGCTCCTCGCGCTGCTCTGCGGCTGCTGCTGCGCAACGGCGGCGGCTGCTTCTTCGGCTGAGGAGGAGGTGGATGTGTCGGTGCAGATTTCGTGCGCGGACAGTGACAACAAGTTGAGTTGGCGCTTTCCTGGTGAAGGTGCCTGGCAGAAGTGTGCATTCACTGTGGATGAGTCTTTCAGAATGAGTGGAGCCATTGGCGACGATGAGAACTCCCTCTGCGCCTGGGCCGGAGCTCAGTACTTTCCTTCCAGTTCAGCGAGTGGTAGCGTCTGCTCTGGAGCCACGGCAGAGAATGCTCCTGCGCTCACGATGAGGTGCAAAACGAAGAAAAGCAGTGGAGCGTACAAGCGGTCAGTGGCAGCAAACAAGCAACCCGGCGGTGCGGTTTCTGCGGCTGCGGGCAGCGAGCCACTTGGCGCGCTGACGGAGTGTCAAGTGCAGCCGCCCGGTGAGGGAGCGGCGGATGGGCGCGGCGGGGTTGCGCCTGGGGGACCATCGCCGCCAACGGCAGCAGCCTCGTTGTTCCGCGCGTGTTGAGTGGAGCAGAGCAGGCGAAGGGTGCGGCAGTTGAGCCGCCCGGTGCGGAGGCCCCTGGCGGGGCTGCGGGTGGGGATTCTTCTGGTGCGAAGGCAGCGGCGGGGCGACGCGCGGCCCCCCGTTCCTCGAGGCGAGTTGCAGCAACGACGCAGAGGAGTTTGTTTCTTTTTTTGTTGTTTTGTTTATTGCATCCCTGGAATATTTTTTTCTTTTGTAGTTATGGACTTGTGCGCCCCGTGGAATTTCTTGTTGCGTATCCTTTGTTGCTTGACGTGGGCCA